CGGGCTAGTTTTATGCTATTGACTCAGGCCAGACGTCTATACTCTTATTCTTTCACAACTTTTGTTCATAAATATGACTCAGGAACATTTTCTTAATACAATAATTCGTCTTAACGGTCCTAATTTGACCACTAACGCTTTTCCCGCAAGAGTGAGTAGCGGTGACTGACCTGATGGTGACCACAACGTCGCTGACAGGGACCTCCGTGGTGATGGTTCCCAGGGCCAGGTGTTGGATGGCAGTCAGGGTCAGGGTCAGTGGGTTGGAACTGTGTGGGATGGACACAAATGTTCATCAACATTTCTGTTTTGAGTTGTTGTGTTACATATGATAAGGGGGAAAAGCAGTGTAAAGAAACCGGGAAAATATTACAAAATTCAAAGTAACTAAAATTTTAAATCTCACTATTAGAGTCCCGTCTGTGAATCTGGCATGGAAATGGAACGCAGAAAATGACCAAAAAGCACCAAAAAGAAAAAATTGTTTTTGATGGAAATACCAATAATTGAATAGTATTCAAGAAACACATACTGAGACCTGTAACTCAAAAAAAAAAAAGAAAAGAAAAAGAAGAAAAAAAAGAAAAAGTATCATCATTATCAATAGTCACGATCACAACTGACAATCTCATTTTTCTTCATCAGGGACAGAACTGTCATCTAAATTTTTTTTAAAAACAACAAACTATCAAAACAATTTTCAAGTGACATTTCTGTAAATTTCACGTCATGCCTGAGGTGTTTCTAAACATGACCGAGCAAGTGCCTAACTCCCCGAGGACCTGTCTGTCTACTGGCCCTCCTACAACACTTGAACACACGCTCTGTCCCAGGGCACTTGAAAACAGAAGCATACCTTCTTTATTCGTACAAACGTTTCATTTCTGTTTTCCCTATCTCCACTGCTTAGAGTAAGCAGACTCCGCCATGCGCTGTTTTCAAAAGTGACGTATGACAGAGTATTAGGTCGGGCAGTTGATCTGAAACTTCTTTTTTTTAACAACATGCACACTAGGAAATACACGCGTGCAAAGTCGTGTTTCTGATTTGTGTGAACGAGGGTTCCGTATGTGCCACAGCATTGGTTTTGTTCTTCCGCTGATCGGACATATTAACACGTGCCGCTGATTGGACGCATTACTACGTGTCCGCGAGGTACATACACCCTTCGAGGGTTACAGACATTCACAAGGTCGTGAGAGGGACCCATTAGGGACGGGTCAGCTGGCAAACGTGCGTCTGTCTTACGTGTCGTAGCTGTAGTTGTCCTGGTCAAACTTGTGGCACGAGTCTGGGGTCAGCTGGTAGACTCCCGGGTGGGCCAGGCAGAAGCGGTTCAGACCTTTGTCCAGGAGGAAGGAACCCACGTTCTTGGCTTTCTTGTTGTGGGCAAAGTTCTACAGGGACAGATAAAAGGAAAAACTGTTTAAAAGTTTTACGGCATTTGCAACACAATTAAAGTCAGGTACGTTCTGAAGATTAGAGTTGCTACCTTTGTTTTGTTTTAGTAAGAGTTTACGGTACTTGCAACACAATTAGGTCATATAAGTGCAGAAGGTTAGAGGTGTTACAAGAGAGTAACAAACATAAAAAAGAAGAAGGGGGAGATAAGGACGGTAGATGTTTGATAGGAAAGAAGGAGCAAACCACACAAGAGCACCCGCCAACCACCCACATTGTGTAAACACACATTGTGTAAGACAGCCACTTAGAAAGTATCGCCTGTATTATTATTAATATTATCATTACAATAGCAAAAAGAAAAAGTATGCCAGTGCGGTTCAATCAACCCAGCAGCACGTACGATGGTGATGGGGTGCGAGACGCTGCACTTGAGGATGTATCCCGTCTGCACAAACTCCAGGCCCGTCAGGTCGTTGTCCACGACATCCAGCTCGATGGAGCGGTCCTTCCAGCACCACGTGTCCATCACAATAGAAGCTGGCGGGGGAGGGGGGGAACGGTCAGTTCATTTCATCATAAGAATGGGAAGAATAGCAATACTACTACTAACGTTAACTGTAATAACAATAATAATGCTGGTAATAATAATAGCAATAATAATAATGGTAATAATGATCATAATTATTATTTAAGAAATCATAATAATATAAGTAATAGTAGTAATAATAATAATAATAATAATAGCACAAATTCTTATTATAATAAAAGTAATAGTAATAATAATAATAACAATAGTAGTAAAACAGTATAATTAAAAGGATAACAGGATAATATGTTTGGGATTAAGAGACGTACAGACACATAAACAGTCGTTTACTTCTGGAAAAAGCCAAACATACAAGCCCACAAGACAGAAAGATAGTGAAGAAGAAGGAGCCAACAAGGAGGGGAGGCATTCACACCACCAGCGACACGGCCTTGAGTCTTTACCTTTGTATTTGCCCGGCATGACGTGCTCAAAGACGAAGGAAGCCTCGTTGCCAGACGTCTTGGCCTGGACTCTGACCTGCGAGTCCGAGCGACCCACAGCGTCCAAGGTCACTTCCATCGGCTGACATTTCTCTGTGAATGATTCATTATTCAAAGAGATTTCTTCACACAAATGGAATATAGCACAGATGTTACAACACAATCCTTCTGGCATTTGGTTCAGTCCATTTCGAAATTTCCCAGACTTTCAATATTGCAGATACTCAATTTTTAAAAAAAGGCTATACCTGCTACTCATTTTCTGAATTCATTGACATTTATTTAGTTTTGACTTTACTTAGTAAGGATACTGCACTCTGTGGGGAAAGAAAACTTATTAAGCCTAACCACGAATAAAGCCTCACCATAAACTTTGCTATGAAAATGCTTGCGCCTTGAATTTTAGTTCTAAATTTTAGGTACCAATTTATATAATATTAAAAAATGATCATGCATTCTTCAGTTTAAGAAAGTTTAGGGTAATATCTAAATTATTACTGAAGACATAAAAACAGGGGCAGGAGCCAACTACACAGAATCACCCACCAACCACCCATCCAGACCACGCTAACACAGCATCTGTCTTAGCTCTTCCCTGGATAAATCATTACACAAAACAAGACATAACTTCATCAAAGGCAAAGACAAATGAGTAGAATCACCCACCAGCCACCCATCTCGACCATGGCACCCGTGTCAACTCTTCTTTGTACAAATCATTACACTTATCGGTTCGACTCAAAGAGGTTATGTTTGGTCGCTTTTAAGGACAAGCGGGCTAACCCAGATTTCAGGATTTTCCAGACCCGTCTGCTGGGACATTTCAGTAACCCACTTTCAGCACTTTTTAAGGACCCCCGGGCGAGTGTTGAGTTCCTGCGTGCTGTCGGCATCGCTGACCGTTTATGAAGCCACAGCGCCAGAAGAGAGAGAGAGAGAGAGGATTTTCCAGAAATCTTGACCTACACCAAAAGAAGATATTGCCCTACCTATAGGAGAAGTTTGGTTTCATTGGTGAGTAAATTTGTTTGGTTATAGAGAAAACTCTCCCCGTCTTTTAAAAGAAACTGAACAAGGGTCCAAAAACTTTATCTTTGATTTTCTCAAAACAGCATTTTTCGAGATAGCCCCTTTGCGCTTAGAAGCGACCATTTAGTACTTGAATTTGTGGCAGTGCTGTTCCCCACTTAAACGAACAAGGGCTGTGTGTGCCCACTATGGGACGCTGGACCTCAAGGGCATGACAAGGGCAGTTCGACATGACTTTATCTAAAACAAAGATAATTGAGTCTGTGAAATTAACGGAAAGGACTGAACCGTTCTGAGGAAAAACTCCTTCATTACGGCCGAACCGGCTTTATAGGCCACCTGTCCAAGACAATTGCTTGTACAAATGTTTACTTCCCCTTCCCCTCCTTTATGTTTTTTATTCTCTACCTAAGATAATCTCTTTTCCACTACACTACAGGTGGTAGTCTTGGACAATTTCTACGGCACTATCTGTCTCTCACGCCACCACCACAACAAGTCAAAGACTCATATATGAAAATGGCAAACATGGCATCATTTTGGACCCTAATACTAATCAAATGTATATGTGTGTGTGTGTGTGTGTGTGTGCGTGCGTGTGTGTGTGTGAGTGTGTGTGTGTGAGTGTATGTGTGTGTGTCTGTTTACTGTACATGTTTACTTGTCATTTTGTGTGTGTGTGTGTGTTTACTGTACATGTTTATTTGTCATTGTGTGTGTGTGTGTGTGTGTGTGTTTACTGTACATGTTTATTTGTCATTTTGTGTGTGTGTGTGTGTGTGTGTGTTTACTCTACATGTTTATTTGTCATTTTGTGTGTGTGTGTGAGTTTACTCTACATGTTTATTTGTCATTTTGTGTGTGTGTGAGTTTACTGTACATGTTTATTTGTCATTTTGTGTGTGTGTGTGTTTACTCTACATGTTTATTTGTCACTTTGTGTGTGTGTGTGTTTACTGTACATGTTTATTTGTCACTTTGTGTGTGTGTGTGTGTGTGTGTGCGTGCGTGCGTGCGTGCATCCCATAACTTACCCATACACTTGACGGTGCCAGAAATCTG